GAAAGTAACGGTAATCTAATTACCGTTTTTGCAATAGTAATCCCTTACTTTACTCGTTACTTGAAAAAAGTAATCGGATTACAGTAATGCGTTACAAGTAACAAGTAACGCGTTACTGCCCATCTCTGGCAGCCACCAATTTTTACTCCAGTCTTATTTTTACTTGCGTGATAAGCCACAGACTAATCCAGTTAGCGCTGTCAAGCTAAGTGTGTCCAGTGTTGGATGATCGTCAGTTGAATGTAAACATCATCTCAGCACGAGGGTCCATGAAACCAGCTCTCTTGTTCATAGTATTTCCAGAATATTTTAATTTAATTCATGAAGTATTCATATATGTTACAATATTACCACGCAAAATATTACGATACTATGGTGTATCAATTTTTCCCTCATCCCTATGGTTGGCAGTTGTCCTTTTCTTATGAACTGTTCATTGTTCATATGCCGATGCAGGTTTCCTTCAAGGTTAAAAACACGTTTACTGTTCTGACTTTGCAGATTGGTGGACACGAAGCAGAAGACATCAACAGCGCAAAGCTGTAGGAGAAGTTTCTGGCCAATGATAAAGACGTGGTGGAGTTCACTGCTGGTTCACAGTCATATTCACTCAGTTTCCAAGGTAAACAAAGAATAGGGAACCATGCATACTTCTGCATGTTAAAATATAAAATCGGCTTTATGATTGTTGTGCAAGTTTAAACTTTTTTGCCCCTCAGACATGATGCAGACAAACAAGCACTACGGCACCAAAAGGCTTGTTTGTAGACGGCCACGGTTTGTCTCTGCTGCAGATGCCCTAAAAAAGAAAGTCACATACATCATCCCAAAAACAGCTCCACCAGACTTCCTTACTTTTTTCTAAATTCATTAGATACTTGAACTTTCTTGTCATCTTTATTCCAGTTGGAGATGGGATTTGATTTTTACACCAAGATCTCTAGAGACCAGCATATTGTCTTGAATCTAACGTAATTTCTATTCAATACTGATAGGTAACCATGTCAAAGTACTGATATTGCCTTGGTCTTTAGAGTCAAACAAAGCTCACTAACAAAAAGCAAACAAATAAAAACAATATTGCTGTTGTAGAGTACAGCTTCATAAAGCTTGACAAGAGCTGATGCTGGATCCAGGAAAGTTATAAACTTAATTTTAAACAAAAATAAAATCGGCCCTGTTTTTTCAACTTCTATAAAAATGACATCATTAAAGTAAATTTGAACTCTTTCTCTCTGCAGAATGTCTTCAGTTCAAACCTCCACTCCAATACCAAAAAGCTGGGACAACACACAGATCCCTCAAACAGGATGCTTGGTATTGTAAAAAACATCAAATATAACTATTCTGTTGTAAGTCACACTCTTAAATTTAGATGTTTTCGAAATTAATTGTATTCTAATAATATTAATAACAGAAGTAAGCAAGTAAATTTACTGACAAATAGACATGAGGACAAAATGGTGTTGGCGTTGAAGATGCGAAGCTTTTCATTGGACGGGATGAATTCATTTATTAGAAGGACAGCTCATAAAAATGAGTTAGAAGCAGAAAAAGACAGTTTATTAGGAGGTTTTCTGCTTCTTCATGTTCGTTCACTTGAATGTTTTATTCCTGTTTTTTATGGGGTCTTTTTATCTTGTGACAAATTCTTAAATAATTTGAAAATAAGATAAGATAAGATGACCTTTATTAGTCCCACAGGTGGGAAATTTGTTTTGTTACAGCAAAAGTGCAAAGTTATGTAGCAGAAATTAGAAAACACTGGAATGCAATAAAATAAAATACTATATACAATAGAATAAAATCGAATAGAATAATATATACAATAGAATAAAATAGAAATACAAATGTTATATACAACTGAGTAAGAAAATACAAAAATACACTTCAAATGAAAGAAGTGCAGCCGTCTGGCTCATCTGACGTGAGAACAGAGTTTCTGTTGTAAGTCGTGTAGGAGGAGAAAAAACCAGCCGATATGTGTCGCTTTAGAGCAGTAGCTCCAGTTTTTAAAAAACGTTAGGTAGCAATTTATTCAAAGTAAACAAGCTAAAACATACAATTTAGCATTGCTAGGCATTTATTTCTAGTACTTTAGTATTTTTGAATAGGCTAAAAAAGTATATTACATTAGGGC